GCCAAAATTAGCACCGAAGGGACGAGTTCTTGGCCAAAATTGGCACCGAAGTGACAAGTTCCTGGCCAAAATTGGCACTAAAGGGACGGGTTCCTGGCCAAAATTGGCGTAAAGGGACGGGTTCCTGGCCAAAATGTGCACCGAAGGAATGAGTTCCTGGCCAAAATTAGCACCGAAGTGACGAGTTCCTGGTCAAAATTGGCACCGAGGAGCCGAGTCGCGGCCAGCTCGACACAGCGAGGCCGGGTGGCCGAGCCGCCTCTCATCCCTCTGGGTGGTCCTGGCGGGAGCGCACGGAGCTCCGCTCCCGGCCAAGCTCCGCCGGGGTCTGGGGAGCGGAAACCGCAGCCCCCCGTGACAAAGCAAGGAAGCTTCCCGCTGCACGCCTGCCCGTGCACCGAGATGCTGGAGCGATCCAGCCTTTCCRTAAGGAAAACACCCCAGCTGGGGACACGGAGCTGTCTAGGCTGTCCTATAACCCCAGGCTGCCCCTTTCTCTCACTTCCAGGCATGGGAATGTTTGGAAAGGGATGCGGGGAGGCGGAGCGCTTCCGTGCCCCTTCCCAGCTCTCTCCTGGAAGTAAGAAGGCGCTTCCTGGAGCTTTCCTGGAGCTCCTGGGGTTCGGAAGGGCCCCGAGGCTGCACCGCGTGCCGCACCAAGGAGCRATTCCCAGGACAGGGAACGCGGACACGAGGGCCTCGAGGCTGCAGTGGGATGGAGGCTGCTCCGCCAAGGAGCAATTCCCAGGACAGGCTTGGATAGGCTTAGGATGGAACACCCGAGCGGGAAGCAGAGCCAGACCTTGCCTCTGGGAAGCGTCCCCGGGTTGCGCACGGGACAGCGTTGTTCCTGAGCGCCGGAATGCGCCGAGCCCTCCGTGCACATCCGCATCCCTGCGGCAGTCAGCGGCTCGGCCCGGAGCTTGTCACCTTGCCCGGGAATTCTGCAGCTACCTGCTGTCCCCCAAAAGCTACCCGATGTCCCCCGGCGGTTTGGGGACGTCGTGTCCCAGCTCCCCGTCTCCTCCTGCAGTCAATGCTCTCCTATACGGATGGTGGACACCATAGCCCGTGTGCTCCTCGTGGCCTCTTTACCCCGGAAAGTCTTCTTGGCTCTTGCGTGGGCCGCAGGGATTATTCCCTTGGCCGGATTTTCCCACGTCTTTGAAGGGAAGGTCTCAATGCCCTTCAGCAGCCGAGGTGACGTCCTGCCTTCGCTCCCTGCCCTTGTCCCCAGCACGTTCATCTGTGGCCGCTCCTGGGCGCGGGTGACCTCGAAGGCCACCAGTCTCCAACATCTTCAGGGCTCCCTGTGGTCCAGGGCCTTACCAACAACTCTGCTCTTTCCTGGGAACGTCTCCCGGCTGCTCCTCTTTCCACGCTTTGGAAGTTAAGCGAGGGCACGTTGCTCCGGAGAGCTGCTCTCCTTCCTGCCCTGCTCCGTGCCCTTTGGTGGCGAGGGTGGCGTGACGCACGCACAGCCAGAGCCTGATCCATGACCACGGATCTTCCCGGGAGCCGCGTTGGGAATTCCAAGTGGAGGGGGGTTAATAGCCTGATCCCAAAGCATCCTTTGGGTGGATGCTGCTCTTCCCGTGCTCCATCCTCTCCGGAGCAAACAGCCTGTCACGGTAACGCTTTGTGGCTTCTAACACTAATTTGGCTGCAGCTTCCACGATGCTGGAAGTTTCCAATCGCAGGAATGCTGCAAGTGTCCTAGATCCTAGAAAGTATCCTACATCCATCCGAGCAGTCCGGGTGTTGGGCAGGAAGGACCACAGAAGTCATTGAAAATCATGGACACAGATGAGTGGTTTATTTGCGGAGCGTCCGTGTGTCCTGGCTCCAAGGAGCCGGAGCTGCAGTGCGTCCTGCAGCGTTCCCGCGGCCTCGAGCTCCCTGCGGCTCTGCCTGGCCATCCCAGTGGGAAGCTGCGTTGCATTGCATTGGGTTGGATTGGATTTGCATTGCATTGAGTTGAGTTGGATTAGATTGGATTGCATTGCATTGGTTGCATTTGCATTGCATTGCATTGCATTGCATTGGATTCGCATTGCATTGCATTGCATTGCATTAGGGAGCCTGGTGCAGGGCAGGGTGCAGTGGGAAGGTCCATCCCCCCAGGTGAGAGGAGGCAGCTTTAGTTCCCCACCTCATTAGTAGAAACAGCATTTCCTGATGATTGCATTGGATTGGATTGGATGGCATTGGATTGGATTGGATTGGATTGGATTGCATTGCATTGCATTGCATTGCATTGCATTGCATTGCATTAGGGAGCCTGGTGCAGGGCAGGGTGCAGTGGGAAGGTCCATCCCTCAGGTGAAAGGAGGCAGCTTTAGTTCCCTGCCTCATTAGTAGAAACAGCATTTCCTGATGATTGCACTGGATTGGGTTGGGTTGGGTTGGGTTGGGTTG